TATTTCTATATATTTTTATCAAGGAATTTATACAAACTTTATGCAAATTTGTACCTGCATAGATGTTGATTTAATTGATAGGTCCCCTATTAATTAAATATAATTGTGCTAAAAAATTTTCCACTTCTTTCCATTCAATTCAAGACTGCTATTTTAAAATATCAATTTGCAATTTTAGATTGAATTACAAGCGTTACAAGGTCAAAGTATGCTAGAGAATAATGTGGAACGTGAGAAAGAAATGGAAAGATTACGAGCAGAGCTTGTCGATGCTACAAAAGTAGCTCGGGAACTTTTCGGTGATACGATAAACAGTAGAAGAATTGATGTTTCAAGTGCAGAAATGCAATGTAAAATTACAGCGCTTAATGAGGTTTATTATATTTTATTTTGCTTTTTCAAACATTGTTTGAAAATTAAAACATTTTCATTTTAAAAATGTATTCTCGAAAAGATCATTTTGCAGTCAAGAGTTGAACAAAAAAAAAAAAAAATTATAGACTGTTGACAAGTTGCATTCGGAAATTAAGCAACACGAAATGGAAAATGATAAACTTACGCGTAATTTAGAGATGAAAGATATTGAAAATCAGAGAGTAAACGCTGAACTAAAAAGATTACGAGAGGTAAATTTTGATATTTTTGTCTGTTGAAAAGTTTTGCAGTTTAAAATAATATAAATTAAGCAAGCAATTTTCTTATGTTTAATTTTTTGATTTTTGGATAGAAAATCCAAACATTTTAGCCTTTTTGATGGTGCAAAATTTTAAGTTTCTCAAAGTAACTGATTAATAATTGCATGATTGAATGAATTGAATGAATTGATAGATATTTTTGCAAAAAAATTCAATGCAATTTCAAGCGCTTTTATTTTTGATTTAACATATGAAGAATTGATCGGAATTACAATGATAAGTGCATGCTATTTTATGCAGAGTGAACTAAAATTTAATTCAATTTATTTTCAAAAATTATCCATTCATTTTGGGGAATTACAAGCTTTTTTTCCTTTAAGGAAATATTTGGAAGTGCAGAAGATGAAATTAGTCGTTTGGAAAAACAGCTTAATTATCGAGAACAGCAGATTGAAAAATTAACAGCTAAATGTTCATTGTTACAAGTTGAATTAAGCTCTATGTTTGATGCTCCCGATCAGAAAATAGCAAGTTCTGTTTTTGCAATGAATTTCGTCAAGAAATCATTTATACCGGAAGAAGGCAAAACAGATGATAGAAGTGAAGTGGAACTGGAAGAATCAGTTGAAGATGATGTTAATTTGTCGGATAAAATAAAAGAGTGTGATACTGAATGGAAGACATATCCGGAGGGCATATTAAAAACTCAAAAAAAGCCTTTAAAATTGGCTGAAAAGAAGGAGGAACACGGAAGGGGCCTGGAAAGTTTGGAAGCCAGCGCGTTGATCATTTCATCACTCAATCATGAATTGATGCTACTCATGCAGGTTTTTATTTTAAATTTTATCACATAAAAACAAAATAAGGAATTGTTGTCACTATTTAAATAATATACAATATTGGTGTTTAATTTAAAGCAAATTAAATTTAGAAATAAATTGTGAAATGCTTACAATTATTGAAATTCCATTTCATTCTTCAACTCATTTCTTTTTTTACTTAATTTTAAAATATTTTAAAAATCATTTCAATCATTTCAAATGAATAAAACATTCATTTCAGAGTAAGTTTTCTCTTTTTGAAGGAATTAGATGAGAAAGATCGCCAGTTGCAATGCATGGAGAAAAGTGTGGAACATGCAGCAAGCAATATTGACGAATTGAAAGTGAATTATTTTAATTTGCAAAAGAAAGTATCGGAGAATGATATGACGCAATACAATAAAGCCATGGATGAGTTACGTGAAAAAGTACAATGTTATGAGATTGAAATTGAGGAACATCAGGTAAGTCAACATTTAATTGAATATTTGATCAACAAATAGTCATTAAAAAATTTAGATAATAAAGTTTGAACCGGAAAAAAATAACCAGAAAAATTTCAATTCAAAGAAGCTTGAAAAATTTATTTTCACAATAAAAAAAGAATCATAATTCAAAGATGAAATGAAAAAATTATTGTTAAAAAGTGTGTATCATGAAATTTCGATGAAATAAATAATCTTAATTTTTCATTATTCTTACTTTTTTCCATCAACGAAATATTTGTATGAATAGCTTTACATTCTATCAATTCATTTTGACGATCGACACAGCCTAAATACTAGATAATTGATAACATTTATTAATAACATACATTTTTTAAATAATATCTTCTCGAGAGAGATATGATTAATGAATATGATAAATGAATTAACGCGAGGGATATAATATTCATTAATTGATTAATTTTGCATTTAATTTAAAAAAATTTCAAGAAATTAGCCAATTCGATACGCTTAAGTGGAAATGAAATACAACAAAAAGTAGAAGAAATGAATAGACAAGTGATAGCGGAACGATTGCGAAATCTTCAACTCATACGAAAATTGGAAATTGTTGAACGAAATCGAAATAATCAAAATGTTGAATATAGGAAACTTGAGAGAAACTATCAGGAACAGTGCCTGTTACATATGAGGCAATTTAAAATTGCCAATTATGAATCAGTAAATTTTTTCATTTTTTAAAATTTAATTCTCTTTAGATTTTTTCACGGAAGAGATAAATATGTCTTTTGTAGTTCATTTAAAGCAAACTACAATTTCTCAAAATTTTTTGAATTTCGTTGAAATACAAATAAATAAATAAATAAAATGGCAATTACAATAAATTTATTTGAAAAATTTAATTCATTAGTTAAGTTTGAAGTTGAATTTTTATCAGTAATCAGAATTAGATGAATAAAAATGGCAAAAATTCTTCCTATCAATTTTCAATATTTAAATTTCAGGATTTAGCAACAATTGAGATAGCACGTCTTCAGACACTTTTGTTACATTCTGTTCCTAAAAAAGATTATGATGAATTACTGTCACAACATAAACAATTGTTAGCTTCTGATGACAATTATAAATCGATAAATGATTTCAAAAATGATCAAATGGTAATTGTTTTTAATTTTTAATCATTCAAATATATTTTGTTGAATATTTATTCCCACAAATATCAATTATCAAATTATTCAGTACAGATCGTTCCAATTTGTGTATTTAATATTAGAAAGGAATTAAATGTAAAATTTAAAAAAAAATTATTTTTATTATCAAATTCGGCTTATATAAAAGCAACAAAAAAGCAAAAGAAGTGTACATTTATGAGAAAATTTCAAATGTTATTTATAAATAACATTTTAAACAAATAATAATATGAGACATATGAATGTAACAGAAATTATGAAGATGTTTTAAATGTAAATGTTAAAGGGCATTAATATGTAAAATTAAATTTAATTTTTTTTTCAGAAAAATGAATACATCGTTGTAAATCTTTTGGAGATGAGTGATGAAACAAAAAATGCTGAAATTGCAGTAGAAAATGCACACTTAAAGGTTGCAATTTTTATTTTTATTTTTTATTTTTTGAAATGGGGATCGAATTTTTAATGAATTGAATACTTTTATCATTTATAATTTTTATGGAATTGAATACTTTTATTATTTTTTTTGTGATTTTTTAAAATGATATAACAATTCATTTCTTGTCAATGATCATTTGCTTTGAAAGTTATTGATGCTATCAGATGAGAATGATGAAGAACATCTCATGATACGGAAACGTATACTGCACGTATTATGCGTACGTATTATGCGTGCATTTACTGTTTTTCTAATACTTCTGAATAAGGGGAAATGATTCTTAATGAAATAAATTGTTTGCATGATTGGTAATGGCAGCTAATATTTATTTTGTATTATTTTATTTTAAAAATTTTAATTTAGGAAATGATAAATGTTCTAAGAAGCCAAAATGAATATTGGCAAATTGAAGTGGAGAAAATTCGAGAGCAAAATACTGAAATGATGCATTTTCTGGAAGATATTGAAAGTGAATCACAAATGAAAAGTTTATTGGTTGCCTTAGAAAGACGCTTTCTAAAAGCACTTTCGGATCAAGCGAAATTTTCACAAAATCAAAAATTAACTGATCATCAATTGCTGGATCAACAGAACGAATTTGCTAAGAAAAAACGAAGTTGGGCAAATGAGAAGAAAAAATTGATCCAAATGATCAGATCATTGCAGCTACTCTTCCAGGTTAGCCAACTTGAATTTTTGACCTTCTTTTCCTTCTAGCTTAAATATTAAATAAAACGTAATCCTTAAATAATGCATATCAATGTTTCTCATCTAATTTTACTTACTGTGCATTTTAACTAAATTTTAAAGTATAATTTTGCAATGTTCTGATTTAAGCTAACATAACGAATTTTGTGAAAACAGTTTGATATTTTTATCTAAGTGACCAAAAACGAATAAACGAGAAAGAATAAGAGAAAAAAGATGTATATATTGTAAGATAATAATAAATGTAACTTGTTTAGTCACTTAGATTAAAGTATCAAATTGTTTTCATAAAATAAATATGAAAAAAATTATGAGCGAATGAATCGATTATTCATTAAATCATGAAAAATTTTATTTCAAATTTTTTACCAATTTTTTTTCCTTCAGCGTATGCGATCAAATTCAATGGAATTACTAACTGTAGAACAAATGCTACAATATAAGAAAAAATTTATTGAGATTAATGCTAATTATGCAAAAAGTCAGAAGTATAAAGAAGAGGTAATATATGTGAAATTCCTTTCTACAATATATGTAAAAATATTTTTATTTGTTTTTTGCAAAAATAATTGAAGTATTTATAGAATCATATGTTGAAATGATTGTTTTGCACCTTTTTTATCAGGAATTTTATCAATTTTGAAGTCGATAAGAGCAATTAACAAGCCGAAAGATAAATGCAGTATAGAAACAAAAGATTGAAATTGAAATTTAAACTTTCCTCCTCAACTGCGAATGTTGTAGATTGAAAGAGAAAAGGATGAATTAAATCTGCAATTACAAAATGCTGAAGCATTACGAAGAAGTTATGAATTATT